ATGTCCAGCTTTAGTGCTCACAGCGAGTGCAGTGGATTTTGGGCATAAAAAGCGCCTGTTGTTGTCAGAGAGTGTGGAGGCGATGACAGATACGTTATTGGATGGGAAAGATGTCCCTCTGTTCCTCTTATCATCCACAATTAACATGTGTTGCTTCAGCTTTTGTATTCAGTCATTATTCAATGGTAAACTAAAAATCCATGTGAAAAAAAATACTTCTCACTGTTCTCAGGTCAAATATTTATATGCGATTAAAATGCGATTAATTAATTACAAAGCCTCTAGTTAATTAGATTGATTTTTTTAATCGAGTCCCAGCCCTAATATATATATATATATTCAAACAAATATTAGACAGCCCTTATAATTCGAAAGTTATTGAATGACTGCAAATAAAAGGGTTAGTTCCCAAAGATTTCGCCGTGACATGCTAGGCGGGTAACAGCTAACCTAGCTCGTTCAAAAACTCTCTGGAACTACATGAAAATCAGCGGTGAGTTACCCATTTATGCCGCTTTTCCACAGTATCAGTACGGTACAGTACAGTACGCTTCAGCCCGGTTATTTTGCGTTTCCACTAGTGGATACCGAACCTAAATCCATAATCAGATCCTCTTCAAATGAGTCCTAAAATGTTTGTTTCATGTTAATGGTTACTTCCGGGTTTATCGCGATCGCTTTTTGTCACATTAAAACAGTATTTTTGTCATGAAAACATTAACAGATCATTCTGAAAACCTCCGTGCATGTGTGTTAAGAATGTACAGTGCCTTGCAAAAGTATTAACCCCCCTTGGCATTTTGTGTGTTTTGTTGCCTCACAACCTGGAATTAACATGGATTGTTTGAGGATTTGCATCAGTTAATTTACAGAACATGCCCACAACTTTGAAGATTTTTATTGTGAAGCAAACAACAAATAGGACAAAATAACAGAAAAGGTCAATGTGCATAACTATTCACCCCCCTAAAGTCAATACTTTGTAGAGCCACCTTTTGCGGCAATCACAGCGCCAAGTCGCTTTGGATAAGTCTCTATGAGCTTGCCACATCTTACCACTGGGATGTTTGCCCATTCCTCCTTACAAAACTGCTCCAGCTCCTTCAAGTTGGATGGTGTGCGCTTGTGAACAGCAATCTTTAAGTCTGAACCACAGATTTTCTATTGGATTGAGGTCTGGGCTTTGACTAGGCCATTCCAACACATTGGAATGGCCTATGGCGGCACGGTGGCTGAGTGGATAGCACTCTCGCCTCTCAGCAAGAAGGTCCTGGGTTCGAATCCCGGCCGGACCAGGGCCTTTCTGAGTGGAGTTTGCATGTTCTCCCTGTGTCTGCGTAGGTTTCCTCCGGGTACTCCGGTTTCCCCTACCACTAAAAATATGTACAATAGGTCTGGCATGCGCCTCCTGTACTGGCGACCCCGCCCCCATCTCTGTGTGGAGTGAGAGGACAAGTGCCCAAAAAATAACAATTGTAAACCGCTTTGAGACTCTGGTCTGTGAAAGGCGGTATATAAATAAAGCTTACTTACTACTACTTACATTTACACGTTTCCCCTTAAACCACTGAAGTGTTGCTTTAGCAGTTTGTTTGGGGTCATTGTCCTGCCTGAAGGTGAACCTCCGTCCGAGCCTCAAATCATGCACAGAGTGGTACTAGTTTTGCTCAAGAATATCCCTGTATTTAGCACCATCCATCTTTCCTTCAACTCTGACCAGTTTCCCAGTCCCAGCTGCTGAAAAACATCCCCACAGCATGATGCTGCCACCACCATGTTTCACTGTGGGGATGGTGTTCTTTGGGTGATGTGATGTGTTGGGTTTGCGCCAGACATAGCGTTTTCCTTGATGGCCGAAAAGTTCAATTTTAGTCGCATCAGACCAGAGCACCTTCCTCCATACATTTTGGGACATGCATGCCTTTTCGCAAACTCAAAATATGCCATTTTGTTTTTTGCTGAAAGTAATGGCTTTCTTCTGGCCACTCTGCCATCAAGCCCAACTCTATGGAGCGTACGGCTTATTGTCGTCCTATGTACAGATACTCCAGTCTCTGCTGTGGAACTCTGCAGCTCCTCCAGGGTTACCTTAGGTCTCTGTGCTGCCTCTCTGATTAATGCCCTCCTTGCCCGGTCCGTGAGTTTTGGTGGGCGGCCGTCTCTTGGCAGGTTTGCTGTTGTGCCATGTTCTTTCTATTAGGTTATGATAGATTTGATGGTGCTCCTGGGATCATCAAAAGATTTGTACTTCTCAACAACACTGTCCCATACTTGTTTGGAGAGTTCCTTGGTCTTCATGGCAGTGTTGCAGCCTCTGAGGTCTTTCAAAAAAGGTGTGTATATAAACTGACAGATCATGTGACACTTAGATTGCACACAAGTGGACATCATTTCACTATTTATGTGACTTCTTAAGGTAATTGGTTGCACAAGAGCTTTTTATGGGCTTCATAACAAAGGGGGTGAAAACATATGCACATGTCAATTTCCAGTTTTTTATTTCTGAAATAAATATATATATTTTTTTCTCAATTCACTTCACCAACTTAAAGGCTGTAATGTAACAAAATAGGTTTAAAGCCAAGGGGGGTGAATACTTTTGCAAGGCACTGTATATGTATACTATTTTCTCCGATTAACATTTAAAGGTGTTGATTGATTGATATTTGTTTATTGAGAGTGGCTAGCTCCGCTAGCTTCTCTGCACAGACAGAAGTAGTGACAGGCGCTGAAAGCTTGTTGTACTTGCGGAGTAATGTTAGTATTTTACACACCTGAATTACAAGCAGAGATTGCGTTGCCAAAGGGCAGCAGTCATTATTGGTTTGAGAGTTCTGTTATTAAGAAAAAATGATCGGTAGAACGTTTTAAAATTACATTCAAGTCAATGGAGCGTTCTACTGCTGCTGTGTGGAGCTGTATAATAAATTATAAACGTAACTAGCGGTAGATTTTCAGTTACAGTATATATTGTGTTAGCAGTGCGTTGCTTTTGTACCATTTCATCAGCGATGTTGTACAGCTTACAAGAAGTTGCGCTCATGCTAATGTTTGTAAATGTATCAGAACGCAAATAAAACTAGATGGCTCCGTGGGATGAGAGCGTAGTGGAAATGAGAGACCTGTGAGCGAGTTGAGGTGCACTGCTAAACATTCAAACCTTGCAGAAACAGGTATAGCTCCTTTAAGTAGATAAAGTGACATTCAGTGGACATTCTGAAGTTGCAGTATTGCACGTTGCACATGATTACAGAATTTACTTAGTACTGTACAGGCTCAGAAGTTCTCATTGTATTATATTGTATAAACATACAATTTCCACATAAAATAGAGCCAAACATTATTTTTGTATAATGGGAGTAGTTACTCCTGTAATCCGACGTCTGGAGGATCTCAGGACCCAGATTCGCAGCATAGCTGCACCCGTGTTGGAGAACTTCACACAAAAAGCTGCTAGCTTAAACTCTTTAGCATCAGAGCCCACACCTTCCGTTCTGCGTTTTGCAGCATCGCAGGGCAGTAGGCTGAATTTTAGTGAACTAAAAGACTAAAGGATTAATAGTGCATAGATGCGTCGATGGTAGGAACGCACCCTAATGATTCATGTGTCTGGACCCTTCATTACTTGACACTGCAACGCTTGCTAAATTACTTCGCTCCATTATTTTAGAACACATTTAAAGGCCGTAGCATGCTCCAAGCCATTAAGTCATAATTTGTGAGTTTCTCGCATGAAATCTGTTGTTTTGATTAACGTGAAAACATAGGTGGAGATGTAACTGCATTTTTGAGGTTGTAATAAAAAAGACCCAAGAGACCCCACTTTCCCAATAATGCTTTCACCGCTCGCGTTCCCACCGCATATAATTATCTGGTGGAAACCCTAGTAATGTAACCGTCGTCTGTTCACAAAACACAGATGAAAATCCACACAAGTCTCGAGTTTCAGATCCCATTTATTCATATTTACAGACAGTGCTCGGTTCACGCCACAATAACTTAAATTAAATAAATTAAATACAATTATTATGATGTTATTAGTGATTGATTAAGAGAGTCTTTTAAAGAGTCCATAACATATAGGTCGTCAGTAACACTGAGCTACAGATGCTAATGTGCGTGTGCGCTAATACTCATGAGCTGCTCACATGGAACAGTCCTGGGTCTACGGCCTTAGTCCTGGATCTACGGCCTCAGTCCTGGATCTACAGCCATAGTTCTGGATCTACAGCCTCAGTCCCTCTTGTCGATGCAAGAGGGTCAAAGGACAGTGATGATCTGGGACATTTATGGAGATTGGGGGATAGAGGAGGTTGAGGGGACAGAGGAGGCAGAAGGAACTGGGGAGACAAAGGAGACCAGGGACACTGGACCAGGGTTAAGGTGAGGCCCAAAGGGAACCCGAGTTGAGATGGACAGTGTGAACGCTCTGAGTGTGGATCTGGTTTGGATGTGGTGTAGACCTGTTCTCTTCCTGCTCACGGTAGTGAGGTTGGCATGAGAATTCTCTAGTGCAAAAAACATAATTTTAAATGTTTAAAAAAACAAAAAAAAAGAAAGATACAAAAACATGAAAATTAAGAGTTTGGTTCAAGCAGCGAGCGACATGTGTCTGTCGTCAACAAAGTCAATAAAGTTTCAACATTTGAAGGAAACACGCTGCAGTCGGTTGGTGTTCCTCTGCGGCGTGTGGCGTGCGCCACATAAATAACATGTACAGATTTACTGCCTTCAGTTTGTAACAAAAATATATTACTTTATGTTTAGTTTCTCTAAGTGCGTCTTTGTCATGAAGACAAGACACGCCCCCTTCGCGAGTTTAGGCTCTGTCGGAACAGAGCACATGGTCACATGACACAGAGGGCCTGGCTACAGGTCATATGACACACAATGGGTAGGGCTACAGGTCACATAATACAAAGGACGGGGCTACAGGTCACATGACAGAGGGCAGGGCTGCAGGTCACACAGAGAGAGGGGCTACAGGCCACATGACTGCTCTAGGAGCAGCCACACTCGTCCACCACCATGTTTTGGATGTCCTTCTTGATGATCTTCTGCTCCTCATTGTAGTAGAGCATGGACATGGCGCGCAGCCGCGTGGGCACGCAGCACGAGCGCAGGTTCTGGAAGGGGCTGTAGCCGCGCAGGCGGTAGTGTCCAATCACCGTGGAGTGAAAGGAGAGGCTAGAGCCTGGGATGCTGGCCACATGTGCCGGACACTCGCCCTCGCAGTAGTTGGCGTGGTAACCAGAGGGAGCGATGATCCAGTCGCTCCAGCCGATGTCCTTGAAGTTGACGTAGAACTGGCGCTTGCAGCAGATGCGCACCTTGCCGTCACACTCTAACCCGCGCTTGTTGCGCCGTTTGGCCTCGGAGCGCTCGTCCTGCCGCAGCACAGCCATCAGGAAGGGTCTGTGCGACTGCTCGCGGGGCGTCGCTCTGTCAGGAAGTGCTCGGTCCGACAGCAGAGCAAGGGTCGCGCCCGCATCAGCGCAGAGCGGACAGGACACGCGCAGTGACAGTGTGGACTCCCGGCCACCAGAAGTCAGCATCCTCTGCACCGCGGCCGACACGGGGAACGTGTGCCAGCCGCTGCGCCGCGTGTCCACCTTCTTCTCCGCCAGCAGAACATCATCACCGGCCTCAGTGCGCGCGTGCCGGCGCCGCGGCTGGTGCAGGCGGATGGTCACTTTGGCGCGGCTTCGGTTGGACTTGGACAGACGCAGGAACAGCCAAACATTCGCCTGCTCCACCAGAGACAGACCAGCACACTCCGACGACAGCACAAAGGTCACCATATCACCAGGGCCTCCTGCACACAGAGGGACGATCAGTGTGAAAGAGACTAGAGAGAGACCAGAGAGACACCAGAGACTTATGAGGTCAGGGGTATGGAGACTTATGAGGACTGGGGGATAGAGACTTCCAATCAGGGTCAGAAGAGAGAATCTGATCTCATTATCATTTTAACAGAGAAAAGAGCTTTTTGTGATAGGAACGACAACCACCAACAATGAGAGACAAGATATTTCTGCAGTATTTTTGTAACATTAGTGAGTTTATTTGGGGCCCCGTCTGGTCACGGCCCCCGCGCACTTGGACAGTCACATTGTGACACGTTCACGGACACTTTTAGTCTCCGATTTTCTCAGTTCTGATCAGAATAGAGACGCTGAGTCATTGTAAACACAACACTTAGGACACCAACAAGTCATTATAGGACCAGGACTGGACCAGGACTAATTCAGGATTGGACCAGCACTGGACAAGGATTGGACCAGCACTGGACAAGGACTGGACCAGCACTGGACCAGGACTAAAGCAAGCCGTTTATACTTTTATCTCACTGGAAGATTAGAGTCTGGTCAGTTGACACAGTCCTGGTTTAGTCTTGGTTCAGTCCATGTTCAGACATAGTTCCTTCTTGGTTTAGTCTTGTTTAAGCTCCGGTCTGGTCCTGGGTGTGGTTTAGGGATGGTTCTGAGATAAAGGCCCTGTCACTGGGCTTTGATCCTCCCATAGACCACAAGCATCCAACTGCACCAATGCAGTACTAATACTGCTACTTCTATTGCTGCTACTACTGCTCCCACTACTGCTGCTGCTACTACTAATTGTACTACTACTGCTGCTAATGCTAGTGATACTACTGCTACAAATTAAACCCGGCCTAAAGCCAGTCTAAACCCTGTCTAAACCCAGTCTCACACTGCCCAGGGATTATTTTGGCCTGAGCAGTGTGAACGGGACTGATCCGTGGACACTGGGTTTAATTGGACTTGACTGGGACTTCATTAGCGGCATTCCTCCAGTGAAACCCAGACCCAAACCAGACCCAAGCCCAGACTCAAGAACAGGCCCTATTCTGACCCAGCTGGCACCAACCCACCATGACCCGAGCACAAGGCAACAATCGCACTGAACCAGAACTGAACCAGGACTGACCCAGGTCTGAACCAGATCTTAACCAGACGAGAACAGGGCTGAACCAGGACTGAACCAGGTTTTTAGTTCCATGTTTTGATTGGCATTCGAGTATTTGCTGTATTTATCCAATCAACTTTACCAGCTGGCAGAGCAGCAGTAATAGCAGTAGCAGTAGTAGTAGCATTAGTAGTAGTAGTAGGAGTAGCTGTAGTAGCAGTCGCAGCAGTAGTATCAGTAGTAGTAGTAGTAGTAGCAGCAGAAGTAGCAGTCACAGCAGTGGTACCAGTAGTAGTAATAACAGTGGTGTAGAAGCAGTAGTTGAAGTTGTAGTAGACTATTAGCAAAAGCAGTGGTAGCAGTCGCAGTTGCAGTTGTAAAAGTAGTAATAATAGCAGCAGAAGCAGCAGTGGCAGCAGTAGTAGTAGTAGTAACAAGGGGGGTAGTAGTAGTAATTTGTACTTTGTACGTTGCTGTATCTGTTCTATTTGTGACTCAGTGACTCAAAGTGACACATCAGCCTCCACACAGGCTTCCCCCACAGACCAGGACTGAATCAGGACTGAACCAGGTCTGAACCAAAACTGAACCATGTCTAATCCAGGGCTGAATCGAGACTAAACCAGAACCCCATTGCAGCAATGTGAGGGGTCAACTGTATTTTTCTTTTTTCATGTATTCAGTCATTCTTCAACAGCAACAAACCCACTTTGGGTTCTGGTCGTACACTAGTCCCACTGTAACAGGGTCCTCACGGTTTCAGGATTTTTTTTGTTCAATTATGCTTTTTATAGTATTCTTCTCATGTGCCTTGTTTATACTGCAACAACATTCTATGATCTGCTAGAATAACACGACTGTTATCTTTATTTAAAGAAAACAGGTGGCTCTCTCTGATATCTCTCTCTGTTCTCTCTCTGGTCTATGCACCATGTAAGAATATTTAATTATTACATGTGTAATAACATTAATTATTACACAATTCAAAGATTTAATCTTTGAATTGTGCCCAATCAACACCCAATATGGCTGCCACAATTATAACGGTACTCATTCGGCTAACATTGAACTATGCTAACATTGAACTATGCTAACATTGAACTTGGCCAATATTAATCCGGGCTAATATTGAACAGAGCTAGGCTAACATAATTTCTCGCTAACATTGAAGGGCTTGCACTCACCGGTTTCGGCGAAGGTGATGACTTCGGTGGTGTCCTGCGTCTCGGGCTCTCGGTGGCGTGCGTCTGTAGTTCCGCCCCCCTCCTCGATGCTCACGCTGCCATCGTCTGCCACACGCCCCACGTGCAGCTTGCGGATGGCGTTGAGCACCGCGGCTCGGGGCACCGACCGCGTCATGTTGGGTCGTCCGGACAGGTGTAGCATGGACAGGATGTGGCGCTTCACAGCTTCCACCACGTCTGGCGAAGGGGCGGGGTCATTGGCCGAGGGGGCAGTGTCACGAACGGAGGAGGAGGGGTTACTGGTGGAGGGGGCGGAGTCACGCGTCGCTTGAAGGGAAGCAAGTGCGCACGACGGGCAGATACCGTCGGTTTGAGCTCTTGCCGTTGCAACAATTGTTAAGAAATACAGGAGCAGCAGCATGATCTGGACTTGTCTGGGCTGTTCTAGGCCGGTCTTGAGTGGTCTGAGCTGGTCCTTGCTGGTCTGGGCTGGTTTAAGTACAGCTTAAGTTTAAGTATGGTTGACCAAAGGCTTGATATAAATTATATAAATAAATATTTCTGGTTTGAGTCCAGCAACAAACTCTTAGCGAGTTGTGACCTGGGCCTGACCTCTGAGCTGAGTCTTGGAGTTTTCCTTGTTAAAACAGTGAAAACATTTCGAAGAATCGACCGATGGGTCTTACACGGTTGTTCAATGGGTCTTCTGTTATCCACTCCTTCCACTGTCAATTTCTCACATTTGAGTTTTTTAGTGTGAAGACAAAGACTCAGCTTGGACTTTAGGCTGAAGACCAATAGAGGACCAATAAACCTGCAATAGACCTGCTTTAGACAAAGTTTTGTCCAGCAGCTTGTACTTGTACTCGTACTTGGACTACGTCAAAACCTGGATGAGCGTTTTTCTTTCAGTTCAAATATTTGCTTTTGTCTGAGATGTAGTTTTTGGTCATATGTTGATCCCAGTGAGAGTCGTCTCTAGTGCGAGCTCCCTTTGAGCTGCACGTGTTTTTCATTCAGACTTCTCTCTCGCTGCCAGAAGCTGCTTCAGCCTCCTCTGTGGATCCAGCTCAACCACAAACCCTGACATAAACGATCAGTCCTCAGTTTGGAAAGTGGTTCACGTGTTGGGTGTGGGTCGTGTTGCTGCTGAAGGCAGAGGCAGATGGAGGAGAGGCGGCTCCGCAACAAGCTCTGGAAACCTCTCTGCAAACAGCTCCAAAAGCAGAGACGCAGAGCTAAAACAAGTGTGTGAGAAATGAGACCGAGAAGAACCAACTGCTCTGTGCCATTCTGGGGAGAATGTTGTAAAACTTTTTGAAAGAAAGTTTCAGAAAAAAAGTGAAATGTTTTCTCCAAAAAGATGCTCCACTCAGAGTTCTGGTCCTAGTCCTGGTCCAAGTGAGCATCAGACCTGGTTCAGTCCAAGTTCAGTCCTGGTTTTGCTCTGCTAGAGACGCTCTCCTCACGCTGAATGAGGACTCCGGCACCAGTTGAGCTCTTTTAGGGAAAACCAGGAGGTGCTTGTTCTGATCTGCCTCCCTCGCCATGCATCCTTCCTCCAGTGTTTTAGTCCTGCTTTAGTCCTGCTTTAGACCTGCTTTAGTCCTGATTTAATCCTGCTTTAGTCCTGCTTTAGACCTGCTTTAGTTTTGGTTTAGACCTGCTTTAGACCTGCTTTAGAGCTGATTTAGTCCCGATTTAATCCTGCTTTAACCTTGCTTTAGACCTGCCCTAGTCCTGCTTTAGACCTGCTCTTAACCTGCTTTAGAGCTGCTTTAGTCCTGATTTAATCCTGCTTTAGACTGGCTTTAGTCCTGCTTTAGAGCTGCTTTAGAGCTGCTTTAGACCTGCTCTAGTCCTGCTTTAGATCTGACATTCTTATTTCTCAGTCACAGACTTGCAGCTGTGTTTTTCTACATCCACATTAATAACTTTCCCCCACCTCTTGTCTAAATAGTATATAAATATTTTTTTCGAACTACAAACTCAGGACTACTTCCTTATTCTTGGATCCGGCAGTGGAAGCACTAGAGGGTACAAGCCAAATCTATGCAGACACTGAACACACAAAAACTCCACACAGAAAAGCCAGACACAGTCACCAGATACCAGAGAGAGACACCAAAGATCAGAGAGAGACCAGAGAGAAAGACCCATAGAGACCAGGAGTCTGTGGGTTTAAAGGCCGTAACATGTGTGGATCAGAAGTTAGTGGAATTATTTAGAAAACGTGAGTCTGATGCATTGGAGAGTGACGTCATGAGAAGGATTCTCCTCCTCATCCTCTGACGCTCGTGGTATTTAAAACATGTCCCACACACACACACACACCGACTCACAGACACACTCAGGCGTGCGCGCCGTCTGCCTCGCGGCGGGCCGTCTGTGGTGGATTCCCCGTGACGCACCATCCTCCTCCTCACAAACCCACAAACTCACACACTTCACTGACTCACTGTTTTCGTCATGTTTCTGTGGACCAAAACGAAAGAGTCTAATACTGACCACGAGCCGGTGTGAGCCACCAAGGAGACTAAAAATAATACCGAAGAGCTGGAGTAAAGCAGGTCTAAAGCAGGACTAAAGCAGGTCTAGACTAACTGTCACTCTTCCCTGTCCCTGCTGAAGAAAAGCAGCCCCACAGCATGATACTACCACCCCCATATCTGACACTAGGGATGGAGCACTGCGGCTGATGAGCAGTGTTTAGCACATGTTGCATCTGTGATCAGGTCTCTCCTTGTTCTTGTGAGGTTAGCTTCACAGCTGTGTCTTGGTAAGTTTGCAGTGGAATAATAATTATTGTGAATAATGGACTGAACATTGCTCTGGTAGATGTTCAAAGCTTTTGTGATGTCAGCGTGAGATACATGTGACACAGGCGTCCGGCCACAGTCCAGGTTTGCTGCATCAAACACTGAAAAGTGAATAATTAAACGTGTCATCGTGACTTTGATGCATTTTTGATTTGAATTTATTATTCATGATGCAACACATTTATCTAATGTGTGAACGAGGTTTAAAGCAAGTCTAAAGCAGGTCTAAAGCAGAATTAAATCAGGTCTAAAGTCAGAAAAAGCAGGTCTAAAGCAGGTCTGAAACACAACTAAAAAGAAAAACCAGAGAGACCAAAATGTGAAACTGTTGCTCTTTGGAACATGTGATGTCACAGTGTGAGGATTCAGTAGTTTGAAAGCAGAGCATTGAGACAGAAGGGACAGTGGTGGTCTGTGATGCGGTCTCCTTCTGTCTCATGTGAATTTGATGTTTCTTCATAATGCAGCAGCACTCAGAGACTCTCCAAACTTTGAACATGTGCGCGTCCCAAACACACATCCCCAACCCCAGAGAGACCAGAAGGGTACCAGAAAGAGACCAGAAAGAGATCAAAGAGAGACTAGAGAGGGACCAGAAAGAGAGACGAGAGATCAAAGAGAGACCAGAAGGAAAGACCAGAGAAAGAGATAAAAGAGAAACCGTAGATAAATCAGAGAGGGACCAGAAAGAGCGATCAGAGAGAGACCATCCTTGTGGAGCAGTATCAACAGTTTCCAACATATTTCTCACAAGGACACCTTTATAAAGTGAGCAGCACATGCAACAGCCCAAACACTGACAATGAGAGCCTTACTCACCCAAACACAGCTCCACGGCTTGTTACCCTGTCATTATGCAGAGTACTGTCCCTGATGGGATCCTTGTGTAGTTCTAGAACCTTCTTCCTCTGAGGCACATGTGGGCAGCGGCAGAGGAAACCGTCTGTAATAAAGCGATGGACAGTGGATCTCCCCTCAGCCGCTCTGTTTGTCCCTAGCTCACCCTCTCCCCTCCTCCTTCTCCTCCCTGTGCTTGATGTGTTAATGTAAATGACTGAGTGAGCTCTGTCCTGGACTGACTCCAAACTCTGAAACTTGTGAGAGGCAGCTGAGGGCAGCTCTGTAGAGCTGACTTCATATAATTACAGACCTGAGCTTTCGATCCTACCGCACAAGTCTGGACACAGTTTGCATATGAGCTGATTATTAGATCCCAGGGCTTTCTGTCATCACCACGGCAACACACATATGGTCTGATTGACTGTGTCTGTGATAACGAGAGAGATTTGACCGTTAACTAACATCCAAAGAGCCCATATACATACACAGGAGAGGGGGTCTCCAGGCCTCCAGACAACTGCAGAGGTCCCACTCCTGTATATGATGCAGAGAGTTTGAGCTCTGTGGAAGTGACAGTCCTCCTGCAGCAATTTTGGACTTTTGCCATTTTTATTGAATAGGCCAAAGTCCCAGTCCAGGTCAAGTCCAGTTCTGGAACTGTCCCGGTCTAATTTTGGACCAATCCTGGTCCAATCCCGGTCCAGTCCCAGTGCAGTCCCGGTCTGACCCACGTCCTGGTATGACTGCGGTCTGAGATCCTCCAGAGTCAATATTTCTTTAGGTTTTGTGGATTAACGGGATTGAGGCAAAGATCAGAAGGAACAGGATGGTGGGGGGATGTAAGACAGGGGCAGAGGGATGATTAAACAAAAGGAACAGCCGTTTATTCCCCCATTATAAACACTCTCCTGACACTGCTGATGATTCAGCTAGAATCAAAATTGGCTGATCGCTGAATTGCTCTGATTGAACCGAAGTGTAGTAATCTTTAGTAATCTTTATTTATATACCGCCTTTTCACTGCACATCGGAGTCTCAAAGCGGTTTACAATTGTTATTTTTGGGAATGGGGGGGGCCAGTACAGGAGGCACATGCCAGACCTATTTTACATATTTTTAGTGGTAGGGGAAACCGGAGCACCCGGAGGAAACCTACGCAGACACGGGGAGAACATGCAAACTCCACTCAGAAAGGCACTGGTCCAACCGGGATTTGAACCCAGAACCTTCTTGCTGAGAGGCGAGAGTGCTATCCACTCAGCGGAGTGGGGACTCATCAATATGACAGTTAAACGATTACAACTCTTGTTGTAGTTGAGGATGAGATTCTTTTTCCTCTCTGGTGTCGCTCTTTGGCCCTTCTCTCACTGCTCATGAATCGTTTGATCATGATCATGAGGTCACTTGAGGACTTCCTGTTTCACACGTCCTCATTTGCATAATATGATGCAGATTCAGAATGACCGAGGCTCACGAGGGACACACACTGCGCTTCACTTTAAATAGAATTTTAGTCTTTCTCTCTTTATCCTCCTTGTCAAAGAGGGGCCAGAGAGACCAGCTCTGTTTACACAGATGAATCCTCAGCGCTCATAAAAATCATCTATAACCCCACCCACAATAAAGAGACACACAACTGTTTTGAAATATTTGAAATAGTCTTCATCCCCCTTTCCAGTCGCTGAATACAGTTCTTTATCGTAACAAACTTCATTGATTCACGCGCGCAGCAGAAGTGCCCTCGCGTGGACACCCATGGGAA